GAACATTTTCCTAATTCTAATTGCTTGTCTGAAAAAGGAAGTTACAAATTCAAACAAAAAATTTTAAATCCTCTATAGTAAATCTCTCACTTGGAATTTTACAACCTACTTTAGTATAGCAAAGACTCTTAGTGGAATTACAGTAAAGAAGTATCTCTATTTTAGTTTTAATTTACCATTTCACAAACTTTTTTGTGAGTGAATGTTTATTTCTTGCATACTGATTAATTTCTTACAAAAGAATGTTCCTTGGACATCAATTTGGGAAATGGTATATTTAAACAAATAAGAAAAAGACAAGGATTTAGACATTTCTGACTTTCACACTGGTCAGTCAGCAATAGGAAAAAATTAAAATGCCAGTCTCAGAACAAAAAGCACCCAGCAAAACTTTTAACAATGCTTAAGCATTGTTTTTTAGCTGGGGTCTTAGCATTGGCCTATACCTGATAAAACTTTTCCTTTAACTTGGTAAGAGTTATGTTTTCCTTCTTATTTCAACACCAAAATGAAAGAACAGGCAGACGTCTCAGACTTATTGATCTCTCACTTTGGTCTTACAAAAAAGACAAGCAAAAGAAATGCGTTTTTCTTATCCTTGCTGGGCTTTGAGCCCATCATTTTTGCTGCCGAGCAGCCTGAAGAGAACAAACAAACATACCAAAATTAAATGACTTTTTGCTTATATTTTCTCCTTTCTGCTCTGTTTTTGCGGCAGGCATTAATCTGCTTGATGTACCGCTGGCCTGGTGGGGGAGTCCTGCTCAGCTGAGGATGGCAGGGGAAGCTCAGCTGAGGATGGCAGGGGAAGAACAATGGCCTTCCCTGAAAAGACATTTCTTCTCTCTTCCTATAGGGCATTCCTGCTTGTTGTTGCTGTAAGAAACATTTCATAATAGTCATAGGCAAGCTTTGGAGAGTCAGGTTCTTTCCAGTTTTCAAGGGGAAAATACTGGCATTTCCCTTTCTCTTTTCAAACTACATTTAGCATTTATTCAACAAACATGTATTTACTACTAAGACTAACTGCACAGTCCTCAGTACCTAACCATATAAACTAGAGATTAAAGAATGGTGGGTTTTCAGGAACATGTACAAAGGACACATGGACAAAACCAAAGTGGGGTAGGATCAAGGGTGGGAAATGGGGATGGCTGGGGTGGGGGGGAGTGGTGGTGGTGGGGGAATGGAGACAACTGTACTTGAATAACAAAAAAAGTGTGAAAAAAAATACAAAAAAAACCAATAAAGTATTTTCTGAATACCCTCAAGTACCAAAACGCTGCCTGAGGTACAACTAGGAAGACTTGCATGCTGACTTTAGAGTAAACAGGCTCTCAGAGACTGGGAGTGTTAATCGGAAACAATGGGTGCTCCATGGCCATGAAGCTGGAGACTTTTCTTGTTGTCTCTTGTGTCCTGAGCTTGGTTTAGGGCCTCTCAACGTGTATTTATTTGCTACTGAATGTGCGAAGGACTGTAGCCATGCGTGAATCTTTTCTATTTTGTCCCCCCATCAGCCTGTCTAGCTTTTCCTCGACAAGTGTCCCCTCACAGGTGGTCCGTTCCAGCTCTGACCAGCTACATTGGGACAGCCTTCCTCCCTTCCGCTGTGCAGAAGTCCACCCCCACCTCCGCAGTCTCACAGTCTGCCCCGTGAGCCTCTATGGAGCACACAGGGCAGTCCCCTCACCACTACATTTGAGTTTGAAAATGTCAAGTCTACAGAAAAGTTGAAGAACAGAGCAACCAACACACATATGCTTTTCATCTAATCACCAGTTATTAATATTTTCCCGTATTTGCTCCATTTTATCTCCTGCTGTTTTCTTTTTTAAAATGAATCATCTGAAAGTATTTTGCGAATGTAAAACTATATCACATCTAAGACTTTGGCATTCATCTCCTAAGACTAAGGACATTCTCCCACATAACAGCATTCCTATTATACATCTAAAAAAAGTAATATTGATAAACTATTATCTAAATGGAAATTCACATGAAAAGTTTCTTAATTATCCCCAAAGTGTTTTAAAATCTGAACTTTAAAATTCCAGATTAAAAAGAAATTCAGTCTCTTTTAATCTAGACTATTTTTCTAGCTTTTTTTTTTTAAGATTTTATTTATTTATTTTTAGAGAGGGAAGGGACGGAGAAAGAGAGAGAGGAACATCAATGTGCAGTTGCTGGGGGCCATGGCCTGCAACCCAGGTATGTGCCCTGACTGGGAATCGAACCTGCGAAACTTTGGTTCACAGCCTGTGCTCAATCCACTGAGCTATGCCAGCCAGGGCTTTCTAGATTTTTTATATACCGTATTTCATAACTTGGACTACTGCTACATAAGCTGACCTACATGTACAGCTAATCCATCATCTGGAGGCACACACTGTCAGGCTGTCTCACTAATGATGAGATATAAGTTGACCACTTAAAAACTCTGAGGCAGTGTGAATGAATATATATTCCTCCAACTACTTTTCACCCATGTTTTAGGAGCCACTGTGATCCTTGTGTGAATCAATTATTACACTGAAAATTATAAAATTATATTTTCTAATTCTATGATTTCTTCTACATGGATTTTAAAAAAGCCCATGTGTTAGAATCTGTTATCACCTAAAAATTATTGATACTCAAATTATCCCAGATTTGGCCAGTGGGAGCCTCCTGAAGCCTTTTTGACAAGACTCCATTAGTTGAGCGTTTCCTGTATTTTTGCCAGATTGGAAGTGAGATTAGTCCAGAGTCCCCTGTACTTGCCCGTTCTCCAGACCTGGAGTCAGCCACTCCTCCAAAGATCCCTGTTTCTTCTTATGGGGAACAGCATTTATGAGGAATAACGTTGCTAGTTTCTTCTACATGCCAGCCCTCCAAATGTTTGAAGCCGGTTATTTCTATCTCATACACCTCCCAAAAACTTTCACTTCTAGGCTAAATTCACAGAGTTCCTTATGTAGTCTTCCTGTGACTTGGTTCTGATTTCTGCCCTACTCTTCTCTTTCCTGTTACCTGTCCCAGCTCAGCTGCCGTTTTCTATTCTAGTGGTTCCCCACCTGGCTATACATCAGAGTCACTAGGGGACTTCTTTCCTATATAGATTCCCAGGACCTACTCACTCCATACTCACTGAATGAGAATCTCTGGGAGCATGGGACTCTTGTTTTTATTTTTGTTTTGTTTGTTTTTTAAGCTCCCCAAGTGATATCAACCACTGAAGATTTGATTTTCAAGGCCCTATGGACCGAGAATTGGATACAACATCAAATTCTGGTCTAGCACTATTACATTTTTTATATTAAACACGAAAATTCTTTCAATGTAATTAAATCAATGCTGACATTTTGGGAGAAGTGGAGGCAATGACATGAAAATTTTGACTCATGATCAATTTGTGAAGAATTACATCCTCAAGATTTAACATATTGTTAAGTCACATCTCCCAAATCTCACATTCAATTGGTCTTCCAGAACTAAGTGTAAGAATTTACATTTTGATTGTATCATCCTAAGTATTTCCAACTTTATGTCACTCACGGTTAGGTTTGCTGTTGAAGTTCTCTCTCTTATATCATCTTTTTTTCTATTATTATATTTTTAAAGTATTAAAAATACCAATCTCACAAACTTTCCTGATTGTAGTGGTGGTCACATAATGGTATGTTTCCTAAAATTCACAGAATAATACACCAAAAAGAGTGTTTTAATGTATGTAAATTATACCTGAAAAATATCAGCCTTATATTTCAAATACTCAGCTATGTTTTTATCCCACGTCTCACTGATTTATTTTTGATTGACAATTTTCTGCAAAATGTATTGCTATTCTAACTAATGGCATTTTCATGGATTTTGTATTTTTGTTCATTTGAGGTCAACATATTCCAGGTTTTGATACCTTGCAAAAGCATCAGGGTTTGGTTTGCCAAGACAGTGAACTCAGTGTCTGCATTATTTCCATTTTATCTGTTCCCACAACACCAAATGTAAAGAAAAAGTGATAAAATGTGGGATAAGGAGAAAAAACTATTAGAAAAATTACAACTCTTCACAGAATTGGATCAAAAAATTGGACTCTTGCCTAGAAGTGGAAGTTAAACAATTTTCCTTTTTTAAATCATTTTAAAAAGATTTTTATGTATTTTTTTTGAGAGAGAGGAAGGAAAGGAGAAAGAGAGAGAAAGAAACATCGGTGTGTGGTTGCCCCTTGCACAACCCCTACTGGAGACCTGGCCCGCAACCCAAGCATGTGCCCTGATTGGGAATTGAACCGGTAACCCTTTGGTTCGCAGGCCAGCACTCAAACCAATGAGCCACACTAGCAAGGGCAGAAGTTAAACAATTTTCTACCTATATGTTTGACAAGGATTTTAAAAAATATTCTTCAGTGTTGGTGAAGATCTTGTGAAACATACTCTCACAAGAGTGGGTTACAGACTTAAGTAATATAACTTTCCTGGTCATTTGAAACTAACAAGAACTTAAAGACTTCAACTGAAACACATATATACTAATAAGAAAAAAAAGGAAGAAACTATACCAAATTTTTAGCAGTAGCCAGCCATCTCTAGCTGATGAAAGATTGTTGTGTTTTGTTTCTCAATGTTTTTATTTTTTAAAATACTTTAAAAACTTCTACATGATGATCCTATATTAGTTTATAATTAGGGAAAAAACAATACATGCTTAGAAAAACACCAGTTAAGAAAAGGAAGGAAAATAAACCACAAAAGGAAATAAATAGGAACAAAATAATTTTTGTAAGAATTGGCCTATCACTGACAGGAATTCTCAAAATAAAATGTCTTTCAAGTAGAGTAGTCAATAATTTTATAAAAAATGTTTGTTAAGAGAATAAACTATTTTTTGTAAAGCTTCTTCAAATGCCATAGAAGATTCAAATGTACAGTAACTCTAAAAGGGATATTTGAGTTGCCTCCAAACAATATTTCTCAAATGAGAAGCTTCATGCAAAATTACTGAATACTGTAAGTTCATACCTTGAAGAACGATGCTCTGGTTTATTTCGTTCGTTGCGATCTGTAAAGAGAGAAGACAGTTACACGTCAAAATGTTCTTTAGAAACCCTGGAAAAGTCCTTAATCACGAGCTTCCAGACCATTAGATTTCACAAGAACTGTTCAAAGGTAGCTGAGTCCTTTCCTGTATAAGGCTCTTCATCCAAGTGGAGAGGGTTTGGCTGACAGAGGAGACAGAAAAGATTCAGAGAAAGACAGGCATATACAGTTTTCATGGCTGGTTAAAATCATCTACTTGGAAAATACATCATTACGTGTATTATTTCATTCCAAAGATCTTTGCTGCTTTAAACACTCTGCTAAAACAAAAACAAATTTAGCTAAGGAAAGAAAGTAAGGAAATCGAAAAGCCACAAATTACTCAGCTCCGAAAAAATTATTCCATGAATCATGGTTGGCAAAAACTTCTAACAGGATGGAGAAGGGGAAAAAATGAGCAGTCAGCTACAGCAACATCTGCAAATACACTAAGACCAGTACAACCTCATCCTTAACTCTCAAACACCCAGAGCACTTCAGAAGTTGCATTTCACTGTTTGAAAGATTATTAGGTCTAATGTGCTATTGAGCAGTGATTTTCCCAGGGGGCATTTCACAACTCCTTGCCCAGAGAGCATCTGGCACGTCAGGAGGCATTTTTGTATTGTTACAACTGGGGAGGAAGGAGCTACTGGCATCTGGTAGGTCAGACCAGGGATGCTGCTAAACATCCTACAACGCGCCCTACAACAAAATCATCTTGCTGAAATGTCAACCGTGCAAAGGTTGAGAAGCCCTGCTACAGGGTCAGAGACCAGAGATGACTGCTTGAAATTTTCAGAGTGTCTCTCTGGAATGCTGTCAAAGGCTACTAAGCAACTTGAAGACTACTATATACAAGAGAAAAGAACCACAAGACTCCCAAGGTTGTCTTTTTGGACCTTGAATAACGGTTTTTTTCAATACATGCTTCAAAATAAGACAAGTAAGAAGGTCTCAGTCTTACAGAAAAACTAACAATAGAAAGCAATGTGTAAGCCACAATAAAGTCCTGTGCAATGACTTTTAAAAAAAAATCCTATGCAATGTTGTCCAAATACTGTTTTCTAAAGTATCTTCTGAATTATTGCTAACCTAGTAAAATTAAATCCCAAAACAAAGATTAGACAGGAATTTTCTTTTTCCCTTAACTTTATTGCTGGTGGAGTAGCATAAAGATAATGAAAATGTACTGTAAAACTTCTGGAGAGAATTGTGGAAGAAAAGGAATTAGATTTACATAGTTAAATGTATGTATCAGTTCTTTCTGAGTGGGTTCATAATGATAAAGAAATGTTTAAACCAAAGAGTTAGTACACAGGAAGACAGTGTTTTATGAAAGACTAACAAAGAGGAAGATTCACAATAAAACATGTTCGTGTAGATATGCTTCCAAAATGCACTCTGTTAACATGCTCCCGGTTCCAATTTCTCTACACAGTGACTTAGTGTTATTGCTGCTTTTCAAACTTTTGTTTTAGTTTAGCTGGGTTTTACCCTGCCCTTAAATAAAAATATCATGGTTTTTCACTTACTAAGTTCCAAAAGTTTAGTCATAGCAATATAGCACACAATTTAACTGTATTTTCAATCCTTCCTTTTCAGCTTTTAGCCTGCTAGTTTTGCTAACCAAAGTAAAGTATAAGGTCTTAAAGTAAAGCTAGAAACTGTGCAGGTCAGCCTTCCTCCAAAAACAAAGCAACAGCTCTTACCTGTGCCTAAAGATGAGCTCAAAGTCTGCCCGTGATACCATTTGCTGTGGCTAGGGTCCAAGTTGCATACAGATTATCAAGGCATGCAATCCCAAACTCCCCCACGAATCTTTCTAGTGATACAACACACAGGAGGAGGAGAGAAACAGAGTCACAGTGAGTGTAAACAAGACTCAGCATCTGAGGGCTTCCCTCCAGGGCCTGCTCTGATTGGCAGATGTGCTCTGACCAGTCTGCACAGCTGGAATGTGGCCACTCAGGAAGCGAATGGCTCATAGCTCTCATTAATTCTTGGTTAAAACAGGAAAATTTATAGTCATTTTTATACTTTCTGTTCTAAGAAAATACGAATGCCTCTCCAAATTACTTATAGAAATAGTAATTAAAATCTAAGAAAATAAGTTGATAATCTGTTGAAGGGCATTTTAAACATTTCCTCCCAAATTCACTCAGTGTTATATGTGTTACATTTCTGTGTAAATATACATATACACTGTAACATGTTACTCCCAAGTACCATATATTTGATAATTTGAAGGTATGAGTAAACTATCCATTACTCACAATATTCTCCATCCCCTACCTCTTGACAATAGAAAACAAATTAAAACACAGGTTCATGGTGTGATCTTTTTTCCTCAAAGTATACAAATAATTGGACCTCAAATTTTGCCATAAGCCATCTTCTAGCTTGAATACACATACAGATGTAGTGTGTGTATGCTGTCCACACATATTTTTATACTCTAATTTTAAGCAAAGTAATCTTCATGACAGCCAAAAATATTGTGCAATTGTCAAGAAATACATTAGTAGTAATGTGGAATTTCTGGCAAAATAATATGCGGTTATTATTTTGGTCCAAAACCAAGACTGAACAAAACAAAGCACTGAGGGAAGATTCAAGGTCCGGATCATGCCAACAGTAATAAAACATTTGGATAAAATCTCCTTAATAAAAATGAGAACTGATCTATAGCAAACACGGAAATTTCATCTCGCAGTATACAGTGCTGTAAACATATGGATTTTATTTATTTCAAATCAAATACATTTTGGTACAAACACCCATTTTTTTAGAGTTCCTAATTTTTAAGTTATCAGAATATACTTGCAAAGCCTTCCTGAACTTTTACATACTTAGAAGTCATATAAATAACTTATTAGCCCAACTTACCATTTCTACAAAACAAATCTTTAAAAATGCTCTAATTCTAAAATTTAATTGCCAAATGCTGCACATTTACTGTGGATAATGGGCCTATCACACTGAGCATAATGATTTAGGTCAAAGATCAGCAGGACACCCTCAATGTGAAGGTCAGCGTGGCTGGCTGGCTCTGGAAATGTCGCTTGGTTTTGCAGGTGTGCGCCACTCACACACACTCACACAGCACGAGAGCACTTGCATTCCCTGTCCCTACTCATCCATGTCTCCTGGTTAATAAAGCCAACTGAGGAAATGAAAGAATACCATGCAAAGCAGAACAGAGGCAGAAAATAAAGCAAACAGGTACAAAGGGAGTTGTTGATGGCGGTGTGTGTGTGTGTGTGTGAATGTTGTGGAGAGAGAGAAAGGAGGCAACAGGGGAGCCCTCACCATAACGGGACAGAGAAGCAGGAGAGTGGCAGGAAGCTACACTGAGTCAGGGACTCTATATAAGAACTCCAGATTACCCCAATTTTTCTGCCATGATGACTTCTGGTTCGAAGTATTCTGGACATACAAGATTCTAATGTTTATGTATTTAGGTGGGACACCACATAATACAGAAATGGGACCCTGTTCTTTTTGGGAATGGCTACACAGATTCTACTGATGTGTAACTAATCAGGTGACTCTGAATCTAATAATTTGAAAAAAAAAACTCAGAAATGAAGATGACAAAAATGCAAATGTCTCTTTTGCTGTGATTAAAAATAGGAAGAATGGCCAACTCAGAATTTATGAGAATCTCCTGTAAGATAGGCAGGCTTTAGGGATTTTGCTTTAATCATTTAACTGAGGAGAAAAATCAAATTCCATTGGGTAGGAACTTAACATTGCTAATTCAAGTTGGCAGTGAAAGGTCCTAAATCGTTGTCTGAAATTAGAGGGAAGACTCAGTCTACGTGAATGAATATACCCAGACACACTTGGGGTAGAGTACAAAGCAGTAAAAAGGAATCTGTTATACCTCATATTGGAGAACTAAAGTCTCTCTTTAGAATGAGTATTATCTCTGAAGGGATTCTGTATGACACTCTCAAGAATCACTGTCCAATTTCAGCTGAGGTGTAAACAAAATGTTATTTTTTAAGAACAGATCAATCCTACATAAAAGTTTTGTACCATTCAGTATTAACTAAAGGACCACACATTCTGAAAAAGAATTCTTTGTAACAATAATATCATTACCTCTTTCCTTATGATAAACAGAATAAATAAAACAAATGAATCCATCCATTCATTAGAAGACAAAAAATATTCAGGTTTTGCAATTCTTATTTTGATGACTCGAAAAGATAAGCAAAACTTTTTCCACTCAAATTGGACATGGATGGAATTTTAAATATCTGAGATCAGAGTTTCAGAGACTTTTCTAAAATCCTTAAATGGTTCTTATATTTACGCAGAGAAAATTGCAAACCTACATCTATTTGAAAAGAAGCCAATGTTCCTTCTGCAACGTTACTGATTCTGAGCAATGCCCATTCACCCCCTTTTATTTAATTCCGTGTCATCACCCTTGTTCAGGTGTGCTTCCACATTGGTTTTTTACATTTTATTTACTGAGTTGAGAGAGAGAGCACTGATATGTTGTTCCACTTATTTATGCATTCATTGGTTGCTTCTTGTATGTGCCCTGGCCAGGATGCAACCTGTGAGCTTGGCGTATTGGGGTGACACTGCAACAAACGGAGCTACCCGACCAGGGTCTCCAACTGATTTTTAGTCACTTTTGAGGCTCCCAAGGTGACTAGTATATTGCTTTTAAATGGCAGGTTATCCATAAATATATTTGTTGTTGTTAGGACTTCAGTGAGAAAGTTGCTATCTTGCTATTTGGGTTGAAAACACCAAGACGTTAAAGACAGTTTCTGTGAGCTACCATGGCAGGAGAGAAGTGAGGCATTTTATAGGGAAGTTTCCATGACCTCTGCCCACGCTTCCGTGGGTAAGTGGAAAAGTTTGATCTGCAGCACTGTCAATAGTGACACCTTTCATTAATTCTAATTATAAAGTACCTAAACTCATTAAATTGCAGCACTCTAGTCCCACAGGGGGAGG